TAGCATAGGGGTAATGTAGTCATCCAACTTCACAATTTGTAATGTTGCAATGTGTATTTGAATAATGATGGTTAGTTCTTTAACTTGAATACTCAGATTTGATTATCATAATGTGTTTTGTTTAAAGAGTTCGAGGTTTACTGTATCATTATTATTCACACCTTATAGATGTTAATCTACCTATACCATTGCACACACCATTTACCATTTTGTAACATTTTATTATTTAATAAGTTTAAGAGTCTCTTTGAAACTTGTGTTTATTTTAATATAAAGAGATGCAATATTTTGTTAAAATATTTTTGTTTCTGACTATTAAAATTATTTGCCTTAATGTTGGTAAATTAAAATCCTAATGTTCCTAAATGTATAGTTCAAAAATATTCAATAACTATTAATAATGAATGATATCAAACAGGATACCGTTATTATTATTTTTGCAATATTGCCCAGCCCTCTTGAAAGGCACTTTAACTTGAAGGAGTAATTGAACCAAACTGAAATTAATTTTAAATGCAATTATTAGACAAAAAAAATGTATAAAGTTTTATTTTGGTGTCTTTGCATTTGCACTAAAAAAGTTTTTCGTTTTTTACCCAGACATTTAAAAATAATATATTTTAGAGCAGTAATCACAATACCATGAAACTGTTATGTTTTTATCCAAGGTTATCATACTGTCAGTATCTGATACCGGCCCATGCCTATTAACAACACTTATTTATTTCAGCGAGTTTCCAAGGAAAAACTCAATGAAAATACTATATATATATCTATATATCTATATATATATATATATATATATATATATATATATATATATAAACAATTACAATAATTATTTACATTTCAAATTATTTCACAAAGTGATTAAAGAAAACAAAAAATAAGAACTTACAATTTTAATCTAAACCTAAAAAAAAAAACATTTTAATATACAAAAGAAATGTTTTGTCCATTTTTTATGTCTCATAAATGTTTCTATATACATGATAATGTATATATGAAGAATGAAGAAATAAAGAAGAAAATGTCTACATGAGAAAGACTCACCCATAGCTAGAGCTGGCAGAACTTTTAGCAGAAGAAAGTAGACGGAGCAGTCATCTGAAACGACCACCGTCACAACACCTAATGTTTGAGAAAGACAAAAAAAAAAAAAAAAAAAAATCAGACTAACAACAATCCAGCATATATTTGCAAAAAAGTAATTTACATAATCCTCCCTTTATTGATTAAAGGGCTAGTTCACCCCCAAATTACATGTACTCACCCTTGACTTGTTCCAAACATGTTTATATAAAAAAAAGGAAACCAGTAACCACTGACTTTCATAGTAAATGTTTTTCTATTATAGATGTCATTGGTTACAGGTTTTCAACATTCATAAAAATATAATATATAGTGTTCAACAGAACTCATGATGACAGAATTTTCCTTTTCGAGTGAACTATACCTGTAAGTTTTGCATGTCATACTCTTAGACATGTGTAAATAAATGAACATGCTATGCATACCCTGTGGGCTCCACTCAGGCATGCGCGTGTCTCGTAGCTGAGCCCAGCTGGCGTAGTATTGGGCCAGTCGAATGAGCACCGCGGGAGAGGTAGTAGACTGAGAGAGCTCACACACCTCAGATACACACTGACTGTGTCTCTGCAGAACACCTGGCAGCCTGGAGCAGAAATATTCACATCAGCAACACTGTGAGGCATTATGTACATTCATGACACAATGTTGAGTAGGGTGACCATATTTCAGTGTACACAAATAATTGGTGGAGGGGAGGAGGGGGGGTTGCAAATACTTGATAAATGCACTAAAACAATGAAAATATATCTAGTGAAATACAATACAGAAAGTAATAACCAGCTTTCCATTAAACTTTAGGTCTTCGATAATGGAATAGTAACAAACCAATTTGTTAAAAAATAAAACTTTACTTTTTACATGACACTGTAAAGAAAAACTAAAATAAAAAAAATCTGTTAAAAAGAATGTAATAAAATATCCACAATTTCACTTTTGAATTCTTTTAAAAAATCATGTGTGCAATGAACAAAAAAGTGCTACTCTTTCTCTCAGCTGTGGCTTTACTGCTGAGATATGTAGATGTACTGGACAGTGTTTGAATACTTACAACCAACCAATACAACAATACGTAGCCTAAAGTGAATAATAAAATTATGCAAAAAATGCATACAATTAATGATGATTATAGAAAGCAAAAGCTAAGTCTCAGACACTTACAAATTCCAGCAAGCTGCATTTATTTAGTCCCAAACAGAGGACATGTCCGGGAGGGGGGCTGGGGGGTTGGGGCTGGGTTAGGAGGGGTAAGGACATATGGTCACCCTAATGTTCAGGAAAGGTCTATTACTTGAGTAGGACTTTGGCTCTTTGGTAACAGCTCAGTTGACTCCAGGTTTTAAAGCCTGCAGCTGCAGAAGAGACAGCAGACGCAACATCCTCAGCTTGAGCACAAACAGTGCTGCAGACCACCGCTGCTGTAAAGACAAAGGAGGAGAAGAATGTATGTTATTATTGTATAGTAGGCATGGGACGATAACCGTTTTCAAGGTTTACCGCAGTTTGGAAAAGTCAAGGTTTTAAAACCGCCAAAATATTCTGCTATACCATTCCTGCAGTATATGTAAGATTTTATTATTTATGCTTTGTTTTCTTTTTTTTATTACAACAGTATTTCCAGCTGAAAATATATCCAAAAATGCCGTTTTAAATGGCAATGAAATCAGTGTTCAAACTAATAAAGACAGCAAAAGTCAATGATTCATTTGAATTATTTAGCCTGACATGTTTACTGTGACAAAATACTAGAAATGTTTCTCAAAATAAAATATTCTGTTATTAAAGGGGAAAAAGTTTTTTGTTTTTTACGCAGACATTAAAAAAAGAACAGACTTTAGTGCAGTCATCACAATACTGTGAAACCGTGATACTTTATGCAAGGTTATCATATCGTCAGAATCTTATACCCGCCCATGCCTTTTGTATAGTACAGTGGTCACCAAACTTGTTCCTGAAGGGGCCGATGTCCTGCAGATTTTAGCTCCAACCTTAATCAAACATACCTGAACAAGCTAATCAAGGCCTTACTAGGTATACTTGAAACATCCAGGCAGGTGTGTTGAGGCAAGATGGAGCTAAACCCTGCAAAGACACCGGCCCTCCAGGACCAGGACTGGTAACCCCTGGAATAGTAGATGGGATAACAGATATACACCTTTAGAATCAATCACATCCTGGGTCTGTCTGTCTGCAGGATGGGAAAATTTCCCATCAATGAAGAAGCCAAGAGTGCGAGAATGTTTCTCCAGCCAGGACTGAGGAAAGAAAAACACATGCAGAAAATTTTTACTCGCACATGACCGACTTCGAAAACATTAACAGTTTAAATCAATCAAGTCAAAAACTCTAGTTTCTCTAATTAATGTATGCTTCAAACTACACGTGTGTTTGATTTGAGTCAACACAGTGGTCCACCTCTCAGAGAACCAATAGACTGTCTTTGTGAAGTTTTCAGTAGATCATTCATAGAATAGATGGCTCTCACAAAATACATGAACAGTTAACCGTGCTGAACTTTGCTCACAGCACAAAACCATTTTAGCTTACAAAAAGAATTAAAATCACATGCAATTAATATAAACTCTAATCTGTAATCAGTGATACAAAACAAACATTTACAGCCTCAAATTACCTATTATGTCTTAAATTTACCTCAGAACGACTGTTACCTCAATACATCTGTTTGGAAAATATTATAATTACGTACACATCTACATTAGCATTTAAAGGTTAAGTAAAAGTGAACTCTTCTCTGAGACAAGCTTGTTTTTTTCCCTAAGAAGACCACCAGCATCTTGTCACATGCTTTTCTCGTGAGCTGCCATCTGCATCCTATTGTACCGTACTGTCACATGTAAATAATTTCTACACTAGGTGGAAATGTACAAAAAGACACACTTAGGAAACAAATTTATTCTCCATTTACCTGTGCAGTTGCAGTGCTCGTGCTGGATGGTCCATACTCCATAGTCTGAAAGATGTCGTGCACAGTTTTTGTAGAAACACCTGCCATAACAAAATAAAACTATAGGAATAATAATTGTTCCGGACTTCTGAGGTAATTGTCAATTCTTAATAAAAAAAATACTTGGTGTGCAGTGACTTTATTAACTAAAAACCGTTAGCTGAAGTAAAAAGTGCAAAGCTGTCGAGTAATCAGGACAACAATAAGGAATAGACAACAGCCGATTGCAGAAAAAAATATACGTAAATTGTAATGTCCCACAATCTCAAAGCAGCTTCTACTTGAGTGCTCGCGTCCACGCTGTTATTTCTTCCTGGGTTGTAATGTGTTGCCAGATCGTGAAACAGAATCAAGCGAAATACTCTGCAAATAACAAAGAAGTCCTCAAAAGCTAAAAAGGACGAGTCTTACTTTTAATATATATGACAATTCCTGGATTCAGTATAGCATAAAATATAAAAATGACACATTACGTAAAAAATTACGCCTATGTAAAATAAACTATTAAGCAAAAACGCATTTTGTTTATTATTTTGTTCCGCTATATATATTTAAAAAATAAATTAAACATAGGGAAACAGATGTTTAATGATAAGGATAACATCCTCTAATCTTTGTATTCTCACGGATTTATGAACAAAAAAAAATCCCACGGAGGATTAAAGTGAGCGGACATGGCAACACCGACTTCACGTCAAACCCCTCCTAAACATGCTGTCAAAGACAAGACAGTCGAAGAACAGTTTATTCATTAAAACTTAATAAATAATTACTAATGTTGCTTGTAAACATCATATAGAATTGAAGAAAGATTGAAAATAATATGTGGTTTATTTCACGTTAAACCTTTTGAATTGTGGCCGCCTGATGACGTATGCGGCACACAAATGCGACTTGCGGAAGGCGTCGCCCTCCAAAAGATACAGAAACTGGAGACTGAAGTTGTGTTGTTGTAAAGTACAGTGGGATTCCCCATACACGTTTTAGCCGAAAAATATTACCTAAAAACTAAACGAATCAACAAAATAAGACATATTTACGGACATGGCTTGTGAAGCCTCACAGGGTAAGTGATTGTAGGCTGTTTGTAATTTTCTAGTCATGTTAAATGTTTGTGATTAATAATGTTTATCTTTGTTTTACAGATGATCAGATTGGAGAGGCACTCTTAATAGGGTACGTTTCTGTTGATTATTTGTTGATTAATTGATAAGTTTATTATTAAGTATATAAGTATAAACATTTGACTTGTTCCATATTTAGTATTGGAATTAATTGATGTATTTTAAATGTTAAGGCATGCGACAAACATCATGCAACTAAGGAAATAACATGTGTAACTTTATCTTTTCAAGTTTCTTATCTACTGGGATAATTGAATAAACACTGAAACAGCCGTAATGAGGAGTTCTGTAATGCATTGTTCAGCTGAAAGTCTAAACAGGCCTCAAATTTTTTTTACACAGTAAAGTAGTAACATAGTAAAAAGTCCTAATCTTGCTTCAGCTTTTTAATGCCTTTCTAATTTGAATACCACATGTAAGAAACAGCAAATAGCAAGCAAGAAAGTACTGCTCTAATAGCACTAGGGGATAAATAAATGATTTACAGGAACTATTTGACAAACTGTAAGGTCAAGAGATGAATGGGCTCTACAGGGCAACTTACAGGAACAGGATGATGACTGTTTTATGACTGATGCGGCGTTTTACAGTTTTATACCAACATCAGTGTTGGCTTTATCATGTTGAGTTAAGTTGCATCAAGTTTATGAGGTGTTGACAAATCGAATGTCTTTCAGGGTAGTAAGGCAGGAGCTAATGGAGGTGATGGAGGTGACTGAAGGAAATGCAGCTCCTCCAGCTCTTCCTGAAGCTAAACCAATAAGCAACAGCCAGGACCAGATTCTGGTTCAGCAGCTGGCGAACACAATCAAAGTGATCGGTGACAAACTCGACCAGGATCAAGCATTTAACGAGTCAGTCTGAGATCTAAATCTGTAGCAGTACTGTTTTTGTCTAAACCATTTTTAAATGCCTGGTTTCTCTTTCTGTTGTTCTAATCTCACAGCATGATCGATGGCTTAGTAAAGGTAGCTGATAAAAGCAGTTTCTGGAAACTTGTGGAAAAGGTGTTCACAGATGGCCAGATCAACTGGGGCAGAATTATCGTGCTGTTTTATTCTGTTGGAAAACTGTCAGCCAAGGTATTGGATTAGTTTATATTGCCTTTTTAAAAAATATGATAAAATGTGTAATGATTATGGTAGTGATGGCTGCTTTCAAAGCACTGCTTCATGAAGCTTCAAAACCTTTATGAATCCTTTGTTTCGAATCAGTGGTTTTACAGCATGTTTTGCCACTTTAGGCTACTGATTACATAGCAATTGTACAAAAGCATAATAATACAAATAAGCATAAACAAGGGTAGAAACCTCTCATTCTTAAGGTCATTTAGATGCTGTAATTTGATCCTAAAACTTAAGTGTCATAATATAAACTTTGACACCAGTGATGTAGAATGAAAATATCCTTCTAAAATTGTGTTAACATTGTTAACATTATATATATATATATATATATATATATATATATATATATATATATATATATATATATATATATATATATATATATACACACACACATACGTTAAATGTTTGTACAGTAGTCAGTATATAGCAGAGGTGTCAAACTTAATTCCTGTTGGGCCAGAGCCCTGCAGAGTTTAGTTCCAGTCCTGCTTCAACACATCTATCTGTACTAGTTATCAAACAAGCCTAAAGCGTTCAATTGGTTTGATCAGGTGTGTATAATTAGGGTTAAACTGTGCAGAACTGCGGCCCTCCAGGTTTGACACCTGTTGTATATAGTCATTTTAAGTGGATCAAAAATGTATTTCAGGATTGTTGAATAGTTTTAGTAATACTTTGGTAAAAGGTTTTAATCTACTTAATATATATATGAGCAATATCACACGTGCAGCAGTGCGATATGGCTGTATATTGTCACTGATGGAGGCTTAGTGTTCCACCAGTGACGATATACAGCCACTTCGCAGTGCTACGTGTGTGATGTTGCATTTATACAACAGTTCATCTGCATAATCGTGTATTTACGCGAGTGTTTAAAAACCCTTTTGTATGAGGAACTACTTTGTTCTGCCATTCATTCACATCTGCAGCTGACATCAGGACACCAGAAACCATTACTAATTCACCAACATTACTTTAGAGCTAGTATTTGAACGATTCTCTAGCGTAATGTCTAAAGTGATGACAAAATAGCTGATTTTGATCACATTTTAAGATTATAAGGCTAAACGGCATGAAATGTCATCAGTCTACAGATATTTCCCAGTATTTCTCTGTTGCAATTAGGAGATCACAATAATTAACCCCGAAAAAAAAAGCCAAGGCAACCAAAAAGTAACTCAGGGTTATACAGAGTGGCCAACACAAAATACATACATTCCTAATATGTGAGTCCCATCTCACACTCAACAAACTACAATTACTATGGTATAAATACAACACTGCAACATACAAAAAAGAGAGAGATTGACTTAGAATGTACCTTACCAGTTTAATAATGATTTGATCAGCAAAAGAAAGCAGCTGAAAACCGAATAAGAGGATGATCACTCGCACGACACGGGTGACTTGATGTGCACGACTGTTAAAAAGCTTTCACGCTCCCATTTAGTAGCACGAAGCAACCGTACCTAGAGGAAACACAACTAGTGCGATCGGTTCTCTTTGAAATAGACTGGACAAAAACGATAATTATGCATCCACAGTCCTGCTGCTTTTAGGAGTTCAAGATTTAAAAAATATATGTATCCTTTTGTAAGCAGCAGTGTCACTGCTTTAGTTTTAATCATTCTCTCAACAGATTATTAACAGGCCTAACATTAACTGTGTGTGCGTGATCATCCTCTCATTATCACATTCATAGTATGTTTTTTTTACCTGCTTTCTTTTGCTTAATGTTATTTTTGTTAATATGGTTTAACTAGACAGATTACCCTGCATATTTTAGATACACGACATGAATTATATTTTAAATGTCAATTGTTTTTTAAGAAAAGTTTTGAATTAGAAAGTACATGTATACAGATATATTTTGCTTGTTTTCACACATGTAAAATTTGTGACTACGAAATAATAATTTATTTATTTTTGGTGTGGTCAGAGATAAATTCGGTAAATCCTTAATTTTGAGCCCTGAAAAGTCCTGTGAAATAAAAACTAATTGCAAAGCGACACAACCCATTGGCTCATGCAAACTGAGAAAGCTCATATGCAACACACACAGAAAGTGAAATGAATGTGGACATAACACAGCATCTAAATCAAGTAATTTTTAGCATGTCAAAGTCAAATTTATGCAAAAAAAATATATTTCCCCAACAACAAAAGTGTGGCTCGTGAAAATGGCGAGTGGCTAGTAATGTTGGAAATCTACTAGCCACACTGGCTAGCGATCAAAAAAGTTAACGTCAAGCCCTGGTCAACCATTTTTGCTCTGCTCAGTAAGACAGGCTGATGAATGCTGACGCACTGTATCTCTGAAATTATAAATATTTTAAAGTACGCATTATCCTTATAAATAAACCGCATAGTTGCAATTAAAACAACTCTTATGATGTAAACAATTGTTGCCTGAAAAATCCTGAAAAATACAGTACATTATATTGTCCAACAGCTGCAATATTTGTCAAACTGTAGTGAGTTTATTGATCTGCTGTCACTCTATGTGGGCGTAGTGATACAGAAGGGTGAGGACGCTGTCCAAGTGCTGTTATTACGGGAATATCGCACGGCTATCAGCCAATCAGATTCTAGAACCAGACAGAACTGTTGTATAGACATATATATTTATATTTATATATATATATATATATATATATATATATATATATATATATATATATATATATATATATATATATATTTGACAACTGTATATACTGTATACAATATGCTGTGTCATCAATATGCTGTGTCATCATTCTGTGTTGCGTGATAAGTTGTTATTGTGACGGGCCTACAGTCTTTCTTCTTTAAAGCTCCCTTTCTTTTTTATAGATGGTCGTCGCTCACCTACCCAGAATTGTTTCAGATATTTTATCATTAAGTCTTGATTACTTCAAAAGGAATCTGTTGCAGTGGATTCGCACAGTAGGAGGATGGGTAAGAAGCAATGAAGGAACAACTGACATTAAATACCAATATTTAAGACATTAAAGAAGCATTTGACTTTGTCTTTCATTTTTGTGCTTCATAAAAATGTGTTGAACAGTATTGTTGAGAGTATGCCATCTATAACTAAACTGTTTGTTCTCCCAATACAGATGAACAGTATCCCTGCACTGGCCTGTTTCTCTGTTGACCAATTTTCTGGTTCTTCACTGAGAAAATATTCTCCTTACGTTGGAGTTGTGTTTGCCTTCACTGGTGGCCTACTGCTGGGTGGCTTCATCGTCTCGAGATTTCAGAAAACCTGAAAGAGAGGGAGAATGGAGATGGCACACAAGTTGACAATAAACTTTCTTAATGATGAACATTGGAGAAACCACAAAGGCAATAAGATGATGGTGTGCAGCATGATTTTGTAATTTGCCTCTTTTTATTGTAATATGCTCCTATTTTATATGTATTTATACTTTGTATTATGTGAGAAAATATATTTAATAATATAACCGAGTTAAAAAATGTGTTTATTCATGATCAAGACAGATAGAAAACAACTTAGACAATAAGCTTGCCCAAAGTTTTATAAAACCTGTTTCGTCTACTCTCTTGTTTATGCATGTAATGTGCAATGAATGAGATTAAAGTGCCCTTGATTTCAGAGTTTTTGAAAACATAAATGCAAGTTAACAGCAGTAATCATTTTTATGAATCACCAATGATTATAGGCTATAATATGTTTGTGGTCCTGAACCACAAACATTGTGCCAAAAATAGTTATGGCCATACAAATACATTGCCTGGGTCAAAATGATAAATTTGATTTAAAAATTTCAATTTAAAAAATCAATTTATTTAATTAGTAGTGTACATTGCTTAGCACTTTAGACAAGTAAAAGGTGATTTTCCCAGTATTTAGAATTTTTTGGAACCCTCAAAGAGTTGTATCTCAGCCAAGCACTGTCCTATCCCATCATTGTGTACATCAATGAAAACCTTATTTTATCAACTTTCATAGGATGTATAGGCTAATGCTTTATATATAATTTTCTTTGTTTATATATGTATACACACAGACACACACACACACACACACACACACACACACACACACACACACACACACACGTCGTCTCGAGATACATAATACATAAAAACAATTTCAACTGTATTTTGGGGGTATACAGTTAAAGTCAGAATTATTATCCCCCTTTTATTTTCTTTTTTAAATATTTGCCAAATGATGTTTAACTGCAAGGGAATGTTCACAGTATGTCTGTTAATATTTTTTCTTATTTGTTTTATTACAGCTAGAATAAAAGCAATTTTTAATTTTTTAAAAACCATTTAAGGTCAAAATTATTAGCGCCTTAAGCTTTATTATATAGGCTATACAGTCGTGGCCAAAAGTTTTGAGAATTACATAAATATTGGAAATTGGAAAAGTTGCTGCTTAAATTTTTATAATAGCAATTTGCATATACTTCAGAATGTTATGAAGAGTGATCAGATGAATTGCATAGTCCTTTGCCTTGAAAATCAACTTAATCCTGAAAAAACTTTCCACTGCATTTCATTGCTGTCTTTAAAGGACCAGCTGAGATCATTTCAGTAATTGTCTTGTTGACTCAGGTGAGAATATTGACGAGCACAAGGCTAGAGATCATTATATCAGGCTGATTGGGTTAGAATGGCAGACTTGACATGTTAAAAGGAGGGTGATGCTTGAAATCATTGTTTTTCCATTGTTAACAATGGTGGCCTGCAAAGAAACACGTGCAGCCATCATTGCAGAAAAATGGCTTCACAGGCAAAGATATTGTGGCTACTAACATTGCACCTAAATCAACAATTTATAGGATCATCAAGAACTTCAATCAAAGAGATTCAATTCTTGTTAAGAAGGCTTCAGTGTGTCCAAGAAAGTCCAGCAAATGTCAGGATCGTCTCCCAAAGAGGATTCAGCTGCGGGATCAAAGTGCCAACTGTGCAAAGCTTGCTCAGGAATGGCAGCAGGCAAGTGTGAGCACATCTGCACGCACAGTGAGGCGAAGACTTTTGGAAGACGGCCTGATGTCAAGAAGGGCAGCAAAGAAGCCACTTCTCTCCAAAAAAAAACTTTAGGGACAGATTAATCTTCTGCAAAAAGTATGGCGAATGGACTGCTGCATGAGGACTGGGGCAAAGTCATATTTTTGATGAAGCCCCTTTTCATTTGTTTGGGGCATCTGGAAAAAGGCTTGTCTGGAGAAGACAAGGAGAGCGCTACCATCAGTCCTGTGTCATGCCGACAGTAAAGGATCCTGAGACCATTCATGTGTGGGGTTGCTTCTCATCTAAGGTAGTGGGCTCACTCACAATTTTGCCCAAAAACACATCTATAAATAAAGAATGGTACCAAACACCCTCCAACAGCAACTTCTTTCAACAATCCAACAACAGTTTGGTAAAGAACAATGCAATTTTCAGCATGACGGAGCACCGTGCCTTAAGGCAAAAGTGATTTCTAAGTGGCTCAGAGACCAAAACATTGAAATTTTGGGTCCATGACCTGAAAACTCTCCAGATCCTTAATCCAATTGAGAATTTGTGGTCAATCCTCAAGAGGCGGTGGACAAACAAAAACCCACTAATTCGACAAACTCCAAGAATTGATAATGAAAGAATGGGTCGCTATCAGTCAGGATTTGGCCCAGAAGTTGATTGAGAGCATCCCCAGTCGAATTTCAGAGGTCCTGAAAAAGAAGGGCCAACACTGCAAATACTGACTCTTTGCATAAATGTCATATAATTGTTGATAAAAGCCTTTGAAACATATGAAGTGCTTGTAATTATATTTCAGTACATCACAGAAACAACTGAAACAAAGATCTAAAAGCAGTTTAGCAGCAAACTTTGGGAAACTAATATATGTGTCATTCTCAAAACTTTTGGCCACGACTGTGTATATATATATATATATATATATATATATATATATATATATATATATATATATATATATATATTGATTTGCCTAATTACTCTAACCTGCTTAGTTAACATAATTAACTTAGTTAAGCCTTTAAATGTCACATTAAGCTGTATGTCTTGAAAAATATCTAGTCAAATAAAATTTACTGTCATGGCAAATAAAAAATAAATCAATTTAACAGAAACATTATTTCTTCGCTAAACAGAAATTGAAAAAATACATAAATAAACGGGGGCTAATATTTCTGACTTTAACTGTATTTTGGGGGTAGTCTGAAATATCACTTGTTTGTTTCGCTTTTATTTTCAATTTGCCTAAGAGGTAAGATGCGGAACAAATGAACTTGCGGAACTTGATATTGCTTTATAGCAGGCTATTGAAAGACTTGCTAAACTCGTTAGAATTTTTCGTTAAGACCCAGGCTAGAGCCATTACAAAAAAACTATTTCGTCTGTAGACGCATGAAGCGGACATTCGGCTTTCCGATATCAGGACCATTAAGGAGGACGATAGAAAAAAAAGTCAATTCATGGCATCAGGTATTGGAACCGCAGGTCTATCCATTTTTTTCTACAGATGTGAACAGAGAGCAGTACACTGACATTTAACTTTTTATCTTAAAGATGTCCAGTTTTCAAACAACGTTGTTCTTAGGTAAGTTTCACATTTCTTTGTTATCGAGCTGATGGCTTTATAATATACAATCAATAGACTAAATAACAATTACTTTAAAACATTTAGGCCTAGGATAAAACTAGGATAAAAACTTGTAGTACACTTTTACAAGTAGGACATGCCCCTGGGTCATGTTGATCCTTAAAAACAAGTCATATTTAAGGTCTAAGTTACAGTTATATGATTGTATGCAACATTTAGTTTGATCGTCGTTTATCATTAGCCTATTGTAGCATTATCCAACGATTAACCCCCTGGTATGGACTAAGTTTCATAAGAATCGATGATATCCTTATTATTTTGGTTTTCTCGTAAGTCATATCATGGATTCTTCCTCATTCATCTTCTCAGATCACTTACGGGCCAGATAGAGAGGGCAGGGATGAGTGTGCCCTCTCTTCCTGAGACGCAGCCAATGAATGATGATCAGGAGCAACTTCTGGAGCAGATTACTAACGTCATTCTACTAATCGGTGATGTTGTAGATCGAGACCAAACAATCATAAAGTAAGAAACTCTTTTTATGTCACTGTATTATGTAATAAAAACTTTTTCATCATCAAAAAATTTTTGTTGACATAAAACATAAAAACAACATTCTGAGAACATTCAACGAATTAACATTCTTGGAGCAAAAAATATTTGTTGCATAGAGTTTGAAAAAAGTAGCTGGAGCTAAAACAATTACAGAGGTAATCCATTCTATAAGGCAACATTTAACAAGCATGTAAATAAACGGTAAGTTTATTGATTTTTCTTCAGCTTATTGTCCCTTTAGGGCGAGGCAGTGGCGCAGTAGGTAGTGCTGTCGCCTCACAGCAAGAAGGTTGCTGGGTTGCTGGTTCGAACCTTAGCTCAGTTGGCATTTCTGTGTGGAGTTTGCATGTTCTCCCTGCCTTCGCGTGGGTTTCCTCCGGGTGCTCCGGTTTCCCCCACAGTCCAAAGACATGCGGTACAGGTGAATTGGGTAGGCTAAATTGTCCTTAGTGTATGTGTGTGTGAATGTGTGTGTGGATGTTTCCCAGAGATGGGTTGCGGCTGGAAGGGCATCCGCTGTGTAAAAACTTGCTGGATAAGTTGGCGGTTCATTCCGCTGTGGCGACCCCGGATTATTAAAGGGACTAAGAAAATGAATGAATGAATAGTCCCTTTATTAATCTGGGGTCTCCACAGCGGAATGAACCACCAACTTATCTAGCATATGTCTAAACAGCGGATGTCCTTCCAGCTGCAACCCAGTACTGGGAAACATACACACTCATATGCTACAGAGAATTTAGTTTATTCAATTCACTTATATAGTGTATGTCTTTGGACTATAAACTGGAGTTCCCAGAGGAAACCCACGCCAACACGGGGAGAACAATCCACAAATGCCAACTGACTTAGCCGAAACTAGAACCAGCGATCGTCTTGCTGTAAGGCGACGGTGCTAACCACTGAGCCACTGTGTCAAATAGCAAGTAACACATTAAATTTAACCTGAAATATTATTTTCCTGTAAAATTCTTGTAAAACACATTTCAGCAGTCTTTGATTAAGCTAACTTTTATTTTGATGATCCCCAAGAGATGTTCACTGATTGTAAGTACAATTGCAAGTAGGCTACAGCTTATTCTAACCCTAAACATTTAGGCTATCTGATACTTTAATGACATTTCATTAACATGTAATTGCAAAGCTGCTGAAGTGAACGAAATGTAGAAATTGACTATTTTATTTTTAACTTTAATCAAGTTAACAAATAAAATTGTGCTTGGTTTCAGCTTGACTGATAGGTTTGCATGCGTGCTGGAAAGACAGCATTTCCAGAGACTTGCAGACAAAGTGTTTCAGGATGGTATCACCTGGGGAAAAATTGCTTCCCTGATCTGTATTGTTGGAAAAACAATTGTGAAGGTATGCATAACTTTCTTTACCTCACCTTCATTATGTTTTATTGCCTAAAGTGTTAAAGTGCATCCATTATGCCCATTTCAATAATATAACATAATATACTGTAAGTCTTCTGTGTCCCTAGAATTAGTCTGAAATGTCAAATTAAAAATTTTTGGTTCAGAATAAAAATAAGCCGTTTTATAGGCACCTTTATATGCAAATCAGCTGCATTTAACAATGACAGACAGCGAAAACAGCAAAAATCGAGATGGATCTAGATGTAAATTACAGAAATGACAAAACTGTACAGAAACTGTCCTGTGAGACTATTTATTCAGCTGCAGTCATCACGGAGCATCAAGGATTATATATTTGCAAAGATTATATACATAGGTTACTTCTGGATGTGTAGCTAGATCAAGAACTGTTGTTATTGAGGGGGGTTGAACACACCACCAGTAAAGCTTTATGTGCAAACAAGAGAGTTCTGCACGATAGCTGTAGTTGCAGTTTTATACATTTGCATTTGTTTTTTTTTTTAAATGTACTTTTTTTATTTAGATTATTGGCAATTACATTCCTGACTTTGTGTCTTGGACACTGCATTACTTCAAGGATAACCTACAGACCTGGATCTGCAATATGGGAGGATGGGTATGATTGGAGAGACTTATGGAAAATACTTTTGTAGAGAATGGGAATCTGCATCATGGAATCGGCCAAATTTTCTGAAACACTCAGAAGCACACAATGTAAACCAATACTAATCACCACAGAAAAAAAAACTGACCAGTTTATACCCATTAAAAATATAGCAAACACTCATAAAAATAGACTGTCTAAAATATCTTCATTAAAAATGCCCAGTGTGTCTGAAAATATGAATTCCAGATTAGCTAGAGAAGCTGAGCACAATTGAGCAGAATGAATGGATGAACTGGGAGTAAAAGAACAAGCTAATCCAAAATAGGCCCAGACTTTGGGAGTGGCGTAACTAAAAACTTAATATATGAAATAAAAAAAGAATACCTTTTAACTTTTATTTAATGCAAATCCAATTAGATACACTTATTTGGTAAACAAAGCAGGTCTCTTATGTAATATACCTACTAAAAGACAGAAAACATTCATTTACAAACTGTAATGTAAATAAATCATGTGAATATTTTTATATTAGTCAATAATATTACTGAAATGAATTTAAAAACTGAATAGATATAAATTTACACACATTTAAACAAGTAAATAAATAGACACAATGATGGGCTAAACATCCACGGAAATCTATGGATATCTGTACGTGCAGATTTTGTGTGGGCCTATCCATAAGTCACAGGGTATCATTGAGCTGCAGCAAGAGAACATTCTCATATATGATTTTTTTCCTTATTTTGGTGTGTGAGCTTACACTTTATTGGAGAACACTTTAGTTTAGGTCACAATTCACAGTATTTACAGACAGTACACTGAAAACACAGTATTAACAGACCATTAACTAACACGACTAGCTTAATAAACTACTATTAAGTTGTTTATTAATAGTTAGTAAGGTAGACAGGTTTAGGTGTTGGGTAGGTTTTGGGATGTGGGATGAGATCATACTTCATAATTACTAATCAACAACAACAATTATTATTATTATTATCAACTTATTATAATCAACTTATTATTATTAACAATGTCACCCTACAGCACAAAGGTCGCTGGTTCTAGTCCTGACTGGATCAGTTGGCATTTCTGTGTGGAGTTTGCATGTTTTCCCATTGTTGGTGTGAGTTTTCTATGGGTGCTCTTGTTTCTCCCACAGTCCAAAGACATGTGGTAAAGGTGAAATTAATAAACTAAATTTTCTGTAGTGTATGTGTGTTAATGAGTGTGTATGGATGTTTCCTAGTACTGGGTTGCAGCTGGAAGGGCATCTGCTGTGTAAAAACATATGCTGGATAGGTTGGCGGTTCATTCCGTTGTGGCGACCCCTTATAAATAAAGGGACTAAGCAGAAGGAAAATTAATAAATGAAAGAAAATTATTGCAAACTATTTATACGGGCTTAATTTAAACAAGCAAATAAAATTAGTAATGTTCAACTTAATTTGTTTAAATTCAGCCCATATAAATTCTTGCCAGCACTTACTTTAAAAAAAAAAGTAGTAAATCCAATGAAACATTTTTTCAGTGTAGTTAATAGCATGAATTGTGACCTAAACCATACTTACCGTTAATTGCAAGTCAGTGTTCAATAAACCTATAGAGATCAATGAGATCCAGGCTCCCGCGATATAAATTCCCAGATGTATTTATTGTAATGACACATTCCCATTCTCTATTGCAGAGCATTAGAATACATATGAGTAATAGTCATTGATAAACTCTTTTAAATACCTGCAGATCAATAGTATCTCCTCCTTGGCCCGTTTCTCCCTTGAGTTGGATTTGGGCTCCTCCTCCAGTATGATCTGGTCCTCCTCTGGACTCCTCTTCATCAGTGGAATGCTGTTAGGAGGCTTCATCGTCTGGAGCCTGATTAGACGAGCCTGAGGAGGGTCAGTGGAGAAGAGATGAGCTGAGGAAAAGCAGAGATTCAGAAATGCAGAATCTGTGGTCTACGTGTCTTTGCATCTCTGCAGATCATGTGAATGAGGAAGGATACAAGAAAGGTGTAGGATTTTCTCAAATTGAAGCCAGCAAGACTTGACATTTCATTTGTGCTGTGCCAAGAGGACTCACTGAAAAAAATGGTTCATTGCGAACTGTTGCAAACATTTTATATAAGCTGAATTTAAACAAAGATTAAGGTGAAAATTACCACATTTAATTGTTGCTTAAATTCAGCATATATAAATTGTTTATAACTTACCTTAAAAAATGAAGCTCATCCAATGAATCTTGCTTTTCAGTGCTGCTCATTGCAGTTTCTGTGCCTACAGTTGAAGTCAGAATTATTTGCCCCCCTTTGATTTTTTTTTTTTTTTTTTTTTTACATTTCCCAAATAATGTTTAACAGAGCAAGGAAATGTTCACAGTATGGGCTCTATTTTAACGGTCCATGCGCAGAGCTCAAAACGCAGGGCGCAAACGCTTTCAGGGCGTGTCAGGACGCGTTTTTGCTAATTTAACGACGGGAAAACCTGCTTTGCGCCATGGCGCATGGTCTAAAAGGGTTGAGTTTATTTTCTTAATGAGTTAGGTGTGTTTTGAGAATAAACCAATTAGAGTCTCATCTCCCATTCACTTTAAGAGCCAGCTGCGTCCTGCCAAGAGCACATTCGCTATTTACAGGACGCAAAGTAAGTTTAAGTGGAAAAAATTAGCATTTCACTAGCAAACAGTTAACAGTTAAGTTATTTAACAGAAAACTGTTAAACAGAGCATCTACTGCGTGAGAATGAGAGATAATGGATCTACTTTCACATTAACTCTTGGATAGGGAAACCTTTACGCACAGACATCAATTAGCCTATAAATAAATACTTTTGTTTGTTAAGCGCAAATATTCGTTTTAAAACTATTTCTAAATTCAGTTCAAATTTCCAGCAAACGAATAAATGAATAATAATAACAAAATGTGCTCAAAAACCTAATTTATATCCTAAAACACATGCTGTGCCCCATATGGTCTAAAACCTGACAGGTGGGCAAATCTAAGCTTGTTTTTAATAAAACAAATATAAATATGGATATATTAAATAATGCTGCTAATAATAATAACATTATACAAAAGCAAATTGTTATGAATAAACTGAAAAAGCCTCCCGAGATGAAGAAGACATAAAAGCAATGGTTTTTCATATTTATGTAGGCTAGAAAATAATATGTTTTGTAATATTTTAATCCTTCATATTCTATATCAATTCTTATTAAATTATTAAATTAATTCTTATATTAAATGTATTAGCCCTTTATTTTATATATATTTTTTGATAGTCTACAGAACAAACCATCATTATACAAGAACTTGCCTAATTACCCTAACCTTAACCTAATTAACCTAGTTAAGTCTTTAAATGTCACTTTAAGCTGTGTAGAAGTGTCTTGAAACATATCTAGTCTAATATTATTTACTGTCATCATGACAAAGATAAAATAAATGAGGTATTAGAAATGAGTTATTAAAACTATTATGTTTAGAAATATGTTGAAAAAATTTGCTCTCCGTTAAACAGAAATTAGGGGAAAAAATAAACAGGGGGACTAATAATTCAGGGGCTTTAATAATTCTGACTTCAACTGTATATACTGATCTACCTCAGTTGAACTTGAACCTCCTTTAATAAAATAATGCAATGTGAACTCTACTGGTCCTCATAAATTCAGGGTCATTATAAAAAAATATATGCAAATAACCTGTATTTATAATTGACGATCATAGAATAATATAGGGTGAATTAACATGAAGCATTACATGGCAAGATCTTTTAGTTTTTTTGAATTATTATTATTGATTATAAAAGATTATATTAAGTATTATATATTTAGATTTTTGATAAGGTTTTAATTAATAAATTGTCTATCTGTAATGGAAAAGATTAGTCTGGTATAGCATTTATCTTCACGCTTAGTAGACATAAGAATGTATTTATTGAGTCTCCATTTTCACATATAACAATTTTCTTTGTATATTTAAAGACTATTACTTTTTTTACATTAATATTGCATTAATAATAATATTGCTCAGAACTTAATTTTTTATTTTTATCTTTCTCAGTGGCATCACGTTGTAACTAAATCATGCATTAAAACAGTTTATATACTTCAAATCTGAATACATTAGTTTTTTTAATTTGCACTGTTGGCTAAACAGGTCAGTCAGGTATTATACTGTTAAATAAGTACCACTCTTCCTTTTCACACAGATTTCTCATTAAAAAAATCTACAAATTGATACAACTGATGCGAGATCATCATTAGTAATGAGAAACCAATTGTTTGTGAAGTGTCCTTGCATGCTTATTACAGTCTGCCATACTTACTTTTTCAAGGGATCTTCAAAGATGTGAGGATGGGTTATAAATAATAAAATAATCATAAAAATAAATTAAATTAATAATATAAGACTCTTTTTATTTTCTCAAATATAACATTACATTACAATCTTTGTAACATATCCTTTGTCTGAACACCATAACACAGATAGACATGCACTGGCTCAGATTTTTTTCACCAAGTAAACAATATTTTTTATTAAATGCTCCATTAAAAGAGAGAACTGAGCTTGCAATGAAAGAATCCAATTTATCATTTTAAATAGATATAAATAGACACAATCTGGATTGCAGCATCATTTTTAAAATATGCTATTTATTGAATATGTCCATGTTAATTCAGGATCCGAAAAGACCAAGAACTGAGGCTATTATAACACACAAAAGTAATGTTTCAGATTTAATTACTTTTTTAAAATAATGATCAAAGTGCAAGCAGGTTTTTTGCTTATTCTTGCAATTCTTTTTGGTGACAAATATTTTTAATAAATTTAAAAATATATTTTTAATAAATACAAATAAGTTTACAAGGGCAGCATGGTGGCACAGTGGGTAGCACAATCACCTCACAGCAAGAAGGTCGCTGGTTCGAGCCTCAGCTGGGTCAGTTGGCATTTCTGTGTGGAGTTTGCATGTTTTCCCCATGTTCACGTGGGTTTCCTCTGGGTGCTCCGGTTTCCCCCACAAGTCCAAAAATGTGGTATATGTGAACTGGGTAAGCTAAAATGTCTGTAGTGTAAGTGTGTGAATGAGAGTTTATGGATGTTGCAGTGATTCTGATGTGGCGACCCCAGATTAATAAAGGGATTAAGCTGAAAAGAAGATGAATGAAGCTTACTTTATGTTCATACTGTAATTTACATAACCCATATACATTTTGTGTAGTGTTATGTAAAGCAGTTAAAAACAGCAAAGGGCCAGGGAGGAAGAAACAGAAGAACAAATACAACTCCTAGAACCAGTCTAATTATATTTACATTACTGAAATCCCCAATAGTGAACCATGTATTATGTTCACATTAAATACATATTTTATATTGGTTTTGGAACATTGGAACAAACAGAAGGTAAGTTTCACTTCTATACTCATGTTGTATCTGTGAGAACTACTCAACTATTCAAATACTTGATAGATAGATATATTCAAAAATAAATCTACATGTTTTTCATGACTAATTAAAATGCATAACCTGCACATTGAATTATTTAACAGTATAATAATTGTTGTGAAAGTTTTGGTCCTCTTTTACTTTTTTTGACTTGAAATAGTTGTTATATTCATTATTAAAGTTAAGAACGGCGAGGCAGTGGCGCAGTAGGTAATGCTGTTGCCTCACAGCAAGAAGGTCGCTGGGTCGCTGGTTCGAACCTCGGCTAAGTTGACGTTTCTGTGTGGAGTTTGCATGTTCTCCCTGCCTTCGCGTGGGTTTCCTCGGGGTGCTCTGGTTTCCCCCACAGTCCAAAGACATGTGGTACAGGTGAATTGGGTAGGCTAAATTGTCCGTAGTGAATGTGTGTGTGGATGTTTCCCAGAGATGGGTTGCGGCTGAAAGGGCATGCGCTGCGCAAAAACTTGCTGGATAAGTTGGCGGTTCATTCCGCTGTGGCGACTCTGGATTAATAAAGGGACTAAGCCGACAAGAAAATGAATGAATGAATGAATGAAGTTAAGAACACTTTCATGTTCTCAGAGTATTCAATGGGCAAACACAGAAGGGACTGTAGATGTGTATTACTGAACATAACAATACGAAGGTTGTCCTATCTGCCTGTCAACATATGGATTTGCATACCTCTGCACACTGTTTGCACAAAAAGCATACATCATCAGCACATTCCTGCTATGCAGACTGGCTTATCATCACTACTATGATATTATGCACTTAGTACTGTAATGTTTTCACACTTGTGAATGAGACATGAAGTTTTGAGATACTGGTATTTTCTCAGGTCTGTTTGTGTGCATTCATGTCTTTTAGGGGAAGTTGGCTTTGGACAGTGATTATCAAAAGCAGGATCTTTAGCTTTCAAAGCTTAGCTTGCAACTACAAGCCTCTCGGAAATTGTCTACTCTACTCTTAAGGTCACAACAAAACATTTGGAATCTCTTGGAATTTGCCTTATTTATGAAAAAAAAAAAAAGGCATTTGACACACTAAACCCACTGGTTCAACACTTCAACAACGGACACCATTTACAGCAATCACCTACTCAAGGTTTATGTTTTTGTTTCAGTTTAAGAAAGTAAGTAGAGTTTTGACATATTAATTACTAAGTTTCATGCAACAATGCAAAAAGTACTTAAATGATTGGCTTATTTCTGATGGCGGTTATTAAGGGTGGTGTTAAGTGAAGTCCAACACTCCTAGAAATTATTGAAAGTTCTTCTTAGTGTTTGACTACATTATGTGGTACTAAAAACAAACATGTTCTGTCAGCCATAAGTCTTTTCTTTTAGCATTGTTTGCATGAGTAGTGAATATCAAGAACTTCTAGATAAAGGGTTTCATGAGGGCATCATCTGGGGAGAAATTGTTACTTCGACCTGTATGCAAACAATGTATGCAATGTTCTTTAACCAGTTTGGGTCATTGACATTACAATGACATGTGATAATGACATTTGTGTCTTGGACACACAATTACACAAGTTTGATATTCTAGAAAAACCTCCTGAAATGAATCTGCAATATGGGAGGATGAGTTATTTAATAAACATGACAACACTTGCATTTATAAGACAAATTGTTCACACTTTATATTAGGTGGCCTTAACTAATATGCACTTACACTGAAATTAATCATTTGTTACAATGTTGTGGAATTACATGTTTTTACATTGTACTTATGATTGATTAAATATCTGCATGTAATTTCACCTCAAATCAATTTCTGTAATTACATTTTTAATTACAATGTTGACCATTCATTACACCTTAACCCACTCTAAAATCTACCCATTCTACCAAACCTGTCCTTAACCCAATTCAAGAGTGATCTCTAATACTTTTTTACATTTTGGGATGCAAGTACATAGTTGTTAAGACCAACAAATCAACTCAAGCCAAATCAAGCGCCAGTGATTGTTGTCTTTTTTTATTCTTTCAAATTAAAAGCGTGGCCTGTGGTGTAGTCACACGATTGAGTGAAATTAATCAGCTTGATATCCCACTCATCTTGCTGTAAAAAAAAGTATTGCTGACTAAATACTTTTACTAACTTTTCAAATTTAACACATCAATCAAACTGACTAAAAATATGCAGTTAACTGTATAAGTTATATATGTTAAAAGCATAACTTAGTTTATAAAAGCATAACTTTAAAAAGTTTAGTTTGAAACCTGATTAATTGATTAAAATAAGGTAAAGCAGCATACAAATATTGTTGTCTTGACTTTTTGTGGTTACATTTTTTGCAGTGCTGGCTGGACTCCTCATTAGTGCTGCTCTGCTGGGTGGATAAATAATATAACACGCATTTAAATAAATGTAAATATATCATCAGCCTGGTGGTCATACAAACATATCCAAGTTAAAGTGCTGTATCATACTATATACTACAACTTGTACAGTGCTCAGCATATGTAAGTTCACCCCTCACAAACCTCTCTTTCAAATTTACATTTTTAACAGGAAGCTGTACAATATTACAGTTGTGCATAATCTATTAATATTAATAACTATTAATAACTATTAGATTAGTCAGTACTGAAGCCAAATCTGAAAATAACTTAATACCAAAAAACCAAAATAACTTACGATAACGCTCCAAAAACTAGTACACCCAAATTTATGTTATATAAAAATATTAAATACAAATTTTAAAAAAAGAGAAAAAAAATCAAGCAAAGCAAAAATATAGATTTTTTTGCAATATTTTGACTGAATTCAATTGCATCTTTTAATTTCTAAATATGTATGGTGACAAAAATATATTTTAATAAATATATTTAATAAATCTGTTTAAATGTACCAAAATACATTGCCTAGATTCACTGAGAAATAGAGAAAAAAAAATTCAATTACGAAATGGGGTGTACTTAATTATGCTGCACACTGTAGGTATTCTGAGGATGACATACCAGCTTAAAATGTCATTTTACTACTCTAAATAATGTCACAGAATCTTTCTCCCCAAAAATGAAGCTACATAAATAACAAAAATTTATTCTGATATATGTGATCTTAAAATTAAAATATATTTTATTGCCATAAATGACACCCACAGAACTACATAATGTATGTAGGGTTGTTTCTAGGCTCTTTAGATGATTCAAATGTTCTTCACAAATACACAAAACAAGATCTTTTTTTGAGAAATGGCCCCTTTACACTGCACTTTCACTGAAAAGTCATGAAAAGCAAGAACAAAGGGTAAAGAATATTACAGCGTATGGTATGAGTCAACATGGAATAATAGCAAAGAATATTTGAAGAATCACACAGGACACGTGTTGAAAATTTTGGCATGAGCTTTTAACATTTTTATTGACTTTTTGAGAACTTTTTCTTTTTAAATTGGATTTCATTTTTCTAATTGTTCTTTTTTTCCCTATCTGTAATGGAGATTTGATCAGGTAGGTTAGCATTCACGTTCAAACTTTCATACTTTTAGTAATATAACGATTTTTAAGTCTCCGTTTTCACAAACTCTGTTAAATTATACAGTTTATTAATCTTTTTCTTTATACATTTCAAAAATATAAAAGGTAAATAATAAACATTCCATTGAAATATATTTTATACAGTTCTTGATATTTTTTTTCCCTTTTTTGTATGACAATAAAATTGTATCCAGCATCAATCTTAGTAGCATAGAACTCATCCATTTTTTTTAGGAACCTTCTCTTTCTCACTGGCCTCTCTTTCTCTCTCTCTCACTCTCCTCATCAATGATTCGCGTCTTTGGGGTGAATATAGAGTGTGTTTAGGCTTTCGCTCAGCAGCTCCATTAGCTCTGATAGTGCAATCAATCCCCCTTTTAAATAAGCTACGATAAGTATAAAAGGACGAAACACAAAAAACACATAGTGCATATCGGGCCAAACTATACTACAATAAATGTAAATACACATGCAGGGGAAACTGAATTCCTGCAGGGTTTTTTTGTTGTTGACATCTGCTGCATCTGTTCAGCTCTGAGTCTGTGGAAGCTCTGATGAATGTTCACTACAGATATCATCCAGACAAAAACAATATAGAAACAAGTACATTTTTCAAAATGGCTACCATATAGCCATAGCTATCATTTGAAATGGCTACAATTCGAATAAAAAGGTGAGGGACACCAGAAACATGTTCTTCTATCCTTTATGAGGGTGTCTTTACAAAGAGTTAAGGCTGCCAACGTACAATTCGAAATATAAACAGCGATGCTGCATAAACGCCTGCTCAAAGTATGCAGCTGTAACTGCAGCGCTCAAGCCACCTCCGAGCTGCATTAAATACTGTGCAAAGACACTCAAACGCCTCCTCGGAAGCACCTCTGTGCCACCTTTATGGTGTAAAAGTTTCTCCGAGAGAGAAGTCGCAGAGTAGAGAGCCCAGCTGAAAGAGATGGTTCCCTCATTCTGGCCATTCACAAATTATTCACAAGTTATGTCCTCATTGTTTTCCATGCATGCATTATAATTCAACTTCAAACAATATGATAGAAAACACAAGAACAAGGGATGCAAAAAAGCTTCTTCCTCCAAAATTCCAGAAGGACAGGGGGACGGATGAAGGCGGGGAGGGGGGATGCAAACAGGAAGTGGAGAAAGCGTGAAGACTGATTCTGGCTTTGTTCTGCTCCTCTCTGATATGTTTTGTATTTGGGTTTCAAGTAAAGGTATGTTGAGCTGTCAGCCATCTGAAGGGGGCTGCGGTCTCATTCACGCCAAGACGAACCCTCCAGGAAAGCATTCGCAAGAGAGAGCTTCTTCGATGGATGTGGCCGTTTACATACATACACATTCAGGGAACAGTTTCAGGCACACTGGATTTCGTATGAGAAATGAGACAAAAGGTGGCCCTCCATCATTATTGCTCCGTTCGACCGACCAGAAAGGTACATAACCAGTCAACAAACGCTTATGAGATGAAATCTGCAACCTAAAACAAACACATATGTCCTACAGTACATGAATATATGCCTATGACTCGAAAAAGTGCATGAGTGTCTTCCTGCACCCGGGAAGCAGCGAGCAGGAAAGACGTAAAACAGGCCGGACGCTACTCAGAAAGAAGGGAATTCCCGTGAAAAAAAGCGCAACATGGCTACTGCAGCTGCACACGTCTACCGCACCGTCAAGCTACTTGCTAACGTTTGAAATGACTCTAGAAAACGCTGGCTCTTGTGGTGATGGAGCTGCATCTGTGTTGTTTTTTCCCTCCCCGGACACACAGCACCGGTAAACAGACACCAGCCAGCTGGCCTGAGCACATGACGTGTGTGTATGTGTGTGTTTGTGTGTGTGAGTGTGTGAGCTGCTAAGGTCTTGCTTAGGTGTTGCATAGGTAGTTACTAAACTAAGCTTACGTTAGAATGACGAGCGCTGATAGAACAAACAACATCAAGTGGCATAAATAAATGTAAACACAGTCTAAACTTAACCAGACTCTTTAAACAAAACATTTCTTGGTGAAGACAAACAGTAAAAGAGCTAATCGTCACGTGTGTTATCTATGAGTTTAAGGTGGAGTCATGGCCCTCCTCTCACACATACTAATGCTAATACCAGAAATCTGCTGCTAGGTTAATACTGAAGTCCATTTTGGTATGGCATGGCTGGTTTTTCTAGAATGGCATGAGTGCTCAGCATATGCAATCGTTCGTAATAAAATCTAGTTTTCTATAAATATAAATCTTAGATGGCTGAAAACAAAAATCTGACACCCAATAAAGTATCCAAAAATAAATTATAGGACGTAAATGCTAATATCTTTAAATCAACACAACTTAAGAACTACAAAAATTGTGTGCAGGTTTTTGAACCAGCATGTTCCCATGCATGAGCACCTTTGAGCTCAGATGCTGTCGCTACTTTCGGAGATTATGGCTTCCTGATTGGACAATAGTGCTTTGTGATGTAAGTGCTCAGGGTCTCAAGACGCAGCAGTTCACACCACGCTGATATTCATCAGATTGGACTCACTTTTGATGGATAAAGCTTTGATTAACCCACAGAAAGTGGATGAAATAAAGAAGAGCAAATGCTGCAAATCAAAGTTACTTTCCACCAGAGCTGAACTTAAAAAGAAAACGTCACCCAAGGCCTTAAAATGCCCTTCCACCTTGCTCTTCAGACCCATAACCTTCAAAAGAAAAGAGCCCTGTAGGTGTTGGAGGTCTCCCGAGGAGCTGTCGTGCTGCTGCCGGAGGCTGATATGACTGAGGGTAATCGTGAAGGGCAGATCAGAGAGCCAGGAGAGTCCAAGTAAAGGGTGAGAAAAAGGAGGGAAGATGTCACTTGAAGCCATGGAGGGAGTGAAGGAGTTCATCTCATCATTCAGCTAGACTCAGTGGGGTTTATCTTTAATCCAACAAAACTGTGAATCTTGCAATCCTATATATTTTTACATTATTCTTCTTTTTTTATTCAAAAACAAAATATAGAGCCTCTCTTTTTTTAAATATATGCTTTTTTTTCTTCTAAATTTAGTAGCATTTAGCATAAACTTTTATTGTTTCCTTTTGATTTTGGAGTTTAGTGATTCAAGCCCTCTAATTTGGGGATCAGGGCTTGCAGAAGTCATGCAGTTTAGTCATGCTGGTAAACAAAGTGAGAAAAATGCATTTTTAGTTTTCTCTTTTTTTTTTTTGTCGGCTTTTGTTCAAAGTTCACTCAGTCCTCTTAAAAACCCCTTTGTCCTTCAACTGGTGTCATGCACTTGTTTTCTATTCCCCACATCAAGGTTAAAGACCTGCGTTTTTCATCCGTGACCCCATCCACTGATCCAGAGTCACCCATATTGCACTGTGCAGCGGTCCTGTCTAGTTTCCTCTTGTTCCTCTCAGCATGATCTCTACCATTTTTCTCTGTTTTTTTATTTCTTTTTTTTTTCATTCATGCCATGCAGTTCATCTACAGTGGAACAGAAATGCTGAGATGCAGAGAGCTGAACTAAGAGAGAGAGAAAAGAGAGAGGCTGACGCTCTTTTCTTCATAGTCACCTTTCCGTGAGCCCTGAGAAGGACACTCTGAACAAGATTTCTGATTGGATGGATGGGGAAACGGTTTGTACGATACAGCAATATGGCAGGCCGATGACGCCACTGTCTATTTTCATTTAAAGCACGTGCAAGATCTCCAAAAGTTAAAGGAGTGGAAAAAGTTTGGCTGATAACTGTTCGATCGAAGCGCTTGATGAACTCTTCTGTGAATGTGTGGTTGAATTGCATAGCGTTGAAGGGCATGATGAGTGTTTTTCCACACATTTTTTTTCATCTGAGACTGGACTGAAGTTTTTTTTTTCTTTATGCCAACTTTTAGGTGCATTTATCTAGGTGTTATGCCCCACAAAAAAAAAGTCTTGTCGTTTTAAAATTGCATCCATTTCCACCAGGAAAAGGGTCGTGCCGGGACATACTACAGTTTGTATGCTTAATCCCACCCTTTTTTTTCCAAGCCTGGTGATCTCTTAAGGAAGAATGTGTTTTAATTCCTCCCAGGACATTGTGTATCTTCAGTTTATTGCACCTAGGTTGGGGTTTAAAATAAGTAATGGAGAGATGAGCGATACGATATTTTCTTCAAGTCAGTTCAGCGCAGCGATCTGTTCATCTCTCGTTGTCTCTCTTTCGTCGTCTCAAATCCTGCGGTGACTCCGGGGTTTGCCTCTGGACAGGTTTTGCGATTGGGGAGCTTGAAAAAAGGGGCAGTTCAGAAGCTCAGCACTGCGGAGAAGACAAGAGAAAGAGAGGGGAATAGAAAAACAGGGGGATAGAAAAATCAGTATCACCTTACACGTCGCACGGCCTCATTACAAACGCATTAAAAGCTACACACTGCTAGAGGCTATCGCAGATGACGGTCGATTCAGACTGCGCAACTGCGAGAGCCAAAGCTAAAGAAGCCAAACACAACTTTTTTTTAATTATTGTTCTTTGTTTAGGAGGGATGTCCATGGCACATTATTTTCATAAAGTCTCCTAAATGTAAAAAAGAAACGAAAGAAACCCTCATAGCAAAGCCCATCATAACATGCGCTCAAAAACAAAACACACAAATGCAAGACTCTTGAAATCACACTCACGAAAACAAACACACATAAAAGCAGAAGAAAAGTTCAAGTCGTCGAGGGCCACAAAATCCTGTTTTGGTGAATCAAATCCAAAGAGTGAATTAAAAATGGTGGATTTTGTCAGCCCTCTAGGATGGACCAGAACAAAGCAAAAGCTTGTCGTACATCAGTGAATCCCTTCACACAAAGGGTGCGTCCTAAAACGTCTCCCTATTCCCCATGAGGTGCCCTTATTTTGAGATTACCAAATGATGAAAGCTGGCATAGGGAATAGAGAGCGAGTGCACCATTTGAGAACAGCGCCAAACATCAGAAAAAAGTGGCACACAAAGGAAAAACAAAACACTAAGCACACAGTCAGGCACATCACATGAAAACACGCAGTGACGCACAGAACACCTTACGCACATTCTTACACTGAGAAGCGTTCAGCTCCCTTCCTCCTCTCTTTGCCTTTTTTCTTTCTTCCCCAAACTGTCCTCCATTTCACGACGCCTTTCTTCATTTGTTGACCATCCTCCCAATACTCTGTTCCCCAAACACACAATCTGTCCATCTGACTCTCATGCTTTCATTTCCTGATTTTTGGTTGCGCCCCGATTTCCATACACAGTTTTTTGTTTCGTAATCCACTTACAGCAGACCGTGTTTGAAAAGTTCACTTGGTTCTTAACAAATCACGGATTACTTTTTCCTTGTTTTCTCATACTGTCATCCAGGCTTTTTTTTTTTTTTTTGGTTGTTATTTGGAAGCAGTAAGAGTTTGTACTTGGGGAATGAATGAACGGATGAAATGGCGAAATAAAGGATGATCTGTGGAAAAGGAAGACTTGCAATGAACATTGAGATGATTGATATTTACACAGATGCATGCATACATGGGGTCATTAATAACTCAAATGTCTCTCTCTTTGTTTCGAATGACATCATTTTGGAAGCACTGGTAGAGACGAACAAAAAGAGATTTACCTGAGTTGTGACAGGGAAGCGTAAGTCTGACGGAGAGGATTGCGGGTAATGGCGCTAAGTCATTTACACTGGACCTGCTCTCCCCGTTTCGAATGCCACATTGGAATCAAAACATAATTTCTGTGCGGTGAACTCCACATGCAGTCTGTGTACAAGAGATTTATTTACATTTCCCTTCAAGGTCGCATGCAGCCTCTGCTTACCAGGGCGTTTGCTAACTAAGCTAACTAGCGGCAGGCCTGTCTCTTCCACATCCTAATTTCAGGATTGAAATAAAGGGATACAAGTAGTGCCGTTCCATCCACCCTGACTACACCTTTACAGATAGACTACACACTGCAAAACCACAAAATGCACTAGGATGCTAAGTGCTAGCTATCTTGAATGTGTGGAAACGTGCATTGATGTATTAGCATTAGCATCTTTCTCTCTGCTCTGACCACACAGGAGTGAACAGGAAATCCTTCAGGTCTGTTCAAACAAATACCTAAAATAATGTTTTATATATAACAGGTACGCGTTAAGGGCTAATTCTTAGCCTCTAAAGGGACCAAAGAGTGCTAATGATCTACAGCACTGAATGCTACGTCTGTCACCCCCCTCATATACCAGCAGAGGGCGCTAAAAGTGAGGATAACACAAAAGTGAGGGGGAACAGAACTAGTAATTTCCTCATAAATAACACAAAACTATGTGATTAAACAAGACCGATGATGACATGAGATGGGAACACAAACTAAAATGGACTTGTAGAGGAGCTGATACTGGTTCGGGGGCTTGGGTTTTCATTCGGGAATGTGTTTGTGAAGGAAGAAGTGGATTTTCTGTTCTAGTCTTAGTTCACAGTTACTGCTTCTTTTTGCATATATCTGATAAGCACTGGGCTTTCAGAATAGTTCTCTGTGAAAAGATGAAAAAGAATAAATCATAAAATGACCATCTGCAATGCTTTTGATGTCTAACAGAGAAAGGAAAACTAAAATAATAATAATAAAATAAAAAACAGATACATAGTTAAAGCACATTCAGAAACCCCATATTGAGTACAACAGTTGTAATGGTCTCTGCCACCCAATAGCATCTTAGCATGCAGAACTAAGCCCCGCCCTCCCCTTAACAGCAGTCAAGTTGAAAATGACAGATTGGTAACAAAACAGCAATGAAAAAAAATAGTTTGTACATTTGTTTCATGCAAATCATTAATATGCATGTGCATATGAATAAGCACATCCATATGTACACACTCGTATTAGCAAACATGTACATAAACCTCTTTGTTAAAATACATTTTCTTATCAAAACACACACATATTTATATATATATATATATATATTATGGACTTATAATTTCCTTATTGCTCGCAGTAGAAATCCATGCATGTGGAAATTACAAAGTCAACCTTCAAAAACTGTACATATCATTAAAACCTGAACTATACACCCTCATTAAGAGCATAAAAACAGAAAGGCAAAGAAAAGAGAGATGAAGAGGAGGAGGAGGACATGGTGAGACACGAGGTGAGAAATAAAATGGTGTTCTTTTTAGGACTGGACCTGAATCATATAGGAATTGTTTTGTCTCTCTCTTTCTCTCCCTCTCATTATACCAGGTCATTTGACTAGATTTAGGGTAATACAAAATATATACTTGCACTTGCTTGTTTTAAATATACCCTGATACATTTTAAACACGTGTCAGATAGTTTGACACCGTTAAAAGAAAAAAAAATGCAATAAATGCCCAGCAGGCACACAACATCATAAGACGCTACTATTAGGTTAGATGTAGATCCTGACGTCAGGTGACCAAAAAGCCAGCATCTAAGGACAACGTTATTTTGACGTCCAATAACGAGGTCAAATTATGCTGATATTTGGTTGATTTTAGGTTGTGTTGGTGAGTGATCAAAATCCAACGTCTGATAGATGTCATTGTGGTAACGTCCACACAATGTCAAGGTGTAACATGATTAGACATTGATATTTGGTTGATTTTAGGTTAGACATTGAATACTAACGTCGGCCTGACGTTGGATTCTGACATCAACCTAATTTTCATTTACATAAAAAATCCAACACCCCCCCAACGTTGGGGTATGTTAGGGTGCAACGTCAATATGACGTCACTGACGTCCTGTGCCTTCAGGGTGCATATGCTCAAAACTGAGCTAGACCAGTATTTCTCAGCCACATCAGACCACCAACACACATGTTTTAGATGTCTCCTTTGTCTGTCACACCCATTACAGGTCTTTCAGTATCTGCTAATGATCTGAATCAGGTGTGTTTGGTTTAAAAAACATGGAAAATATGCAGAGCTGGTGGTCTTCCAGGTGGTTGAGAAACACGTGGTTCAACGTGGTTGAGAAACACTGAGTTAGACTATTCCGTAATACTTCTGACTCACCTATGATCAGATTTAACAAAAGTTATGTGGTGTAATTACTGCATTTTGCCTTTACATGGCTAAACAACCCGATGGATCGTTAAAACAAACAAAAAAAACGAATAACTAATACTGATCTGAGAATCTCCCTGAAACACTTAACTGAACACTGTAGTTATAGAGAGCACAAGTGTGGTATAGCAGACTGTACATCCAGCAGATGGCTCTCGCACACTGTCCTGAGGCCTTACATGAAAATGAAGCATGTAAATAAAGCAGCGCACATGCAGACGACTGATGACTGCTGTTTTACTCATTAAAGCACAATACCAGACATTAGCTTGCTGCCGCCATGCAGATGCCCAATGTTATCAACCACCTTCAGTCTAGCAGTGAACTTCTTTAACCAATAAAGAAGAGAGGAGGGAAAGAGGACAGAAACAGGGTAATGCGGCAGTAGCGAAAACACACGAAATAATAAGACAAAAGAGAACTAACATTGCTTAACTTAAAGGAAATAATGATTACAGATGAAATAAACGAACGAACAGATATGGGTGTGTAAAATTAAGTACATTAAATGAAATCATCATAAAAAATGAACAATGCTACTTTGCTTTCTGATCAAGTTTTACACCGCAGGTTTTAGTTGTTTGACATGGACAGAAAGACAACAAAGAAAGCTTTGTGAGCTGCCATTGCAGAGATATCTTCACCAGGCGTGTGTACTGCATCTGTGCACTCAGAGATGCAGCAGATTGACACACAGTGAATCACACATATGGCTCATTTATTAGAAAGAGTTCATTTTGTCATCTTTTATTTGTCTTTTTCTTCTCTTACTGACCGCTGTCAATCCAGCATCCATTCAATGTTCCCTCCTTTATATTGGAACGAAGGTCAGCATCCGAGAGACAGAGCAGATTAAACGAAAGAATAAATAAATAATAAAAGAAAAGGAACAGAGAAAGAAAAAAGGAGACCAAAAAGAAAACAAACTGAACTGATTTTCTACTGCATTCAAATGAGAGGAATAACAGTAATCAGAAAATGATTATGATTGAGAAAGGGTGATGGCGATGATAATGAGGATGAAAAGGTCCAGCGAATTCTTTCCCCAAATGGGGAAACTTTGAGGCCACTGTCTGATTCACCACAGCCCCAGGATGTGCGGATATGCAGTGAGGAGTGCAGTTCAGCTTGATATGTCTTCATATTTATGAGGAAGTACCATAGTAAGGATATATTTTAACGACAGTTCCTTCATGCACTAGTATACAAATTTGTAAAGGGTCCCGAAGAAGTGCAGAAGGTTATAGGCCCTTAATAAGATGGCTCCTTCTTCTTTCCTAATTTTTTTTTTGTCATACATTCAGCTCTTTCATTTCCTCGTACTTGGTGTTGAATATGCAGAGTCAAAATACAAAAACCAAAACGTTAATTGCAGATCTCCATGCAAAAGCACGATATCCCGTCCTCCCAAAATGTCAACTCAAAGCCGCCCGCGCAACTCCAATCCCCGATCCGAATCGCAAAGTCCAAACGCTGAGTACAAAAATAGCTTCTCTTTTTTTAGTTGTTGTTCTTGTAATGATCAGTTCTCGGTCTCTCTGTTAGTGTTAGTTATTAGTTTGAAGGGTTCATCTCCAGCTCCTCCAGGTCAGAAGTCATTGTAATAGTGGATATTGCACAAGAATGGTTTAAGCGTTTCTCTTTGTCCTAAATAAAGAGCATAACGGTGTGAGTTATATCTTGAAGTGACAACGAAAGTTGCTGTAGGAAATACTCTGTGTGTGATTAAATAATGGCTAAGTGTTGGTCTTATTCATAATACTTCATATAATGGCCTGGACCACAAAAACCTCCTTCATCACAATCAAATCAACAAATAATTTCTCTAAAATCAGTTCAGCATTAATTTTTACTTCCTCGCTGAAGTTAAAGGGGGACTGGGAGTTTAGATATAGTCTACTTGCCTAACTGACATCTTTTCTTGCATGCACTTGAGCTACTTGCATGTTGTCTGTGACCTTTATCATTCCAAGCTGTGATATGAAGTGGATTTTTCAAGGCCTATAATGGTGTATCAAAGCTGACCTCAGCGACTAGTACCTGCTGGATCACAGTCACGTGTTTTTTTTTGTTTGTTTTTTTGTTTTTTACACATCCTGCAATCAGGCAGGAACATATGAAGAAGCCAACTACTATCATTCAACTACAGGGGTGGATTTCCTACAGGGTGCTCGCCGCTGCCGCCTATTAAACAGTGAGGGGTTTTATCCTAATAGAATTCAGTGCTTCTTTTTTTTTAATCTTTGATAATAAGGCATAATTTGCTGACGTAACAGCATATAATTGTTTTAGTTGCCTGTCTGAAATATTGCCTGAAGTATATATGCGGTGATTTTAGTACTTAAAGCTCTAAATCCCTTAACAAATTCCTCCCATTCCCTTTGAGGCATGATATATTAAAAAGAGTGCTGGGTGCCCCCATCCTGTCCAGTCAATGGAGGAGTATTTAGCGGCGTTCTTGTGGTTATTAATACTATTGCGGTATAGTGTGCATGGTGATTATTTTGTTGCCGTTCCCTAAGATGTGCTACAGAATGGAGGGTATAGGGGATCGGCAGCGGCGCAGGGGCCCGGGGGACTCGTAGGGTTCGTATGGTGGGTTGTTGATGGGGGTGATGGGGGTCAAGCGGAGGGGGGCTCCTGTCATCCCAGAGATGTTATTGAGGCTGCGGGACTTCTCGTAGCCAGCAGCTACAAATCCCAAATGTGGCAGATGGATAATGGAGAGAATACATACATCAGAGAAAGATGAATAAATGGAGGTAATGCGGAAGCACAAACATGTTTGGATTCATGATGAAATTTAAAAATCAGAGTTAAAAATAATAATAAGGCAAGGGGGGGGGGAATGAAAAGCAAAGAATGACAAAATGAAAAGGATGTAAATGACACAGAAGCAGACAGACAGAAAGACAGACAGGGACAGACAGAGACAGAGACAAGGACAAAACAGGAAAATGAGAGTTATGAAATGTCATCAAGTTTTCTTGTCAAATTCTTTTTGTTGTTGTTGTTGTTATGGCACAGCAGTATTACAAAACAAATCTCCCTTTAGTCGCAGCCACATACAGTTTTCAGGGAGAGATATAAGAGCAGATGTGTAAAAAGAGCAGGTGGATGAAGCACCTGATGGCTGACTCAGACCAATAGTGAGGTAAGGAGTTTAGCATCCAGGTGTTTGACCCAGTCTCAGACGAAACACTCTGCATTCTGATACTAGCACTGGAGTCCAGCAGAGGAGTAGCAGAGGAGCTCCGTCTAGTCAAAGCAGCCTCACTCAGCACTGTGGGCCAGGTGAAGCTCCTGCGTTTCAGACTAAATGTCTTTCCATTCTTAGCTGCTAATTCGTCTTCCTTCTACATACAAGTGTATTTCTGTAGATTAATAGGGATTTAAAACAGCTTCACGTGGCCCAAAAGTGCCTGAAAGCTTTCCTTCCACATCCATTTCTGGCTTTGCTAAAACTTTGGATTCTTTAAAGTCTGGCCAAACTTTGATTATTCACCTAATGTGTCCAGTGTTGTTTTAGTTTGCTAACAAATTCAGGTGTCAGTGATTTATATAGATTATACAGATAGATTGAGTCAGAATTCAGCTGATGTCAGGGGGAGTTGAAATGCTTTTCAGTGTGTCTGCATTATTTTCGACCTCAATTCAAAGATGAGTTGTATCTATTTTTTATTTACAACAAAACCTGATTAAATTTCAGGCTTTTGTGAAACACAAAATTAAACACTTTGACCAAACAATATACCCCACTGACATTATTTGGGCTTAAACAAACTTTCTTCAGAATACAGGTGCATCTGTATAGAAAATGTCATTGAAAAGTTGATTAATTTCTCTAGCTGTTCAAAAAGTGAAATATAGATATACTACACACAGATTGATTTTTAGCCAATCATTGAGTCTATTTATTTACTTGTATAAATCTGTGTATTTTATATTTATTCAGCTTTTAAATTAATTTCAGTAATATTATTGACTAATATGAAGATGTTAATATAATTTATTTACATTACAGTTGTCTTTTAGCATATATATTATGGAGACTTGCTTTTTATTTTATTTTTTTTACCAAATAAGTGAATATAATTGGATTTGCAGTGGAAACAATAAATACATTTTAAAAACATGTTATTTTTTATCTTATACATTAAGTTTTTAGTTATGATATTCCCAAAATAATTCCTCATAATCCACAGATTTTTTTTTTTTCATAATATTCTGTGCAGAAATAGCAAAAAAAAAGAAAAAAGTCCACAGATTCTGTCTGGGCCAACTTATGGACAATAAAAATAAGATTTTTAACACAGAAATGTTGGACTACTTGTTCTGGGCTGTGTTAGGCCAAGGTTGCTTTGAAAAACGGCCTTCAACTCTTCTGCGGTGTTGAGTTTGCTGGCCAATCAAGTACAGGGATATCATTGTCCTTAAACCAGGCATTAGCACTTTTGGCGATGTGGGCAGGTGCCAAGTTCCAAATGAAATGCAAAATTGACTTTGATCAGAAAAGAGGACTTTGGCCCACTGAGAACAGTCCTTTTTGCCCTCAGCCAAGGTGAGACGCCTCTGACATTGTCTCATGCTTCCCTATGCTGACCAGCTTTTTGGAGATGCTGATTTAAATTTCCAGCAGAACTTGGCACCTACACACACTGACAAAAAGGACCCTGGTATCCCTGTACTTTATTGTACCTGACCTAAACTCATGTGTGGGGTTTTGTAAAGACACTGTTTCTGCAGGTTTCAGCAAGGTACTTTTTACATTATTTTGAATGGCCCAGTTGGAAAAGAGTTTTATTTGCTTTATCAAACTTTTGAAAATAATTTAATATATGTAATAATAAAATTATAATAATAATTCAATAATTAAAATATAAATAGTTTAATTAATTCTGAGCAAATATTTTGAATATTGTGTCAAAACAAGCAAGCTCTAGTTGTATACATACACTTTTTTCAACATAACCTTTCTTTAAAAAAAAAAAAATAAATTATATATATATATATATATATATATATATATATATATATATATATATATATATATATATATATATATATATATATATAAAACGATAATAATCTAAACGTATGCACAACAGTCTGTCCAGGTCAGCTTCCTCAGCAATACATACATGGATTAAACAAATTATATTGTAAGTTTAACAATTAAACCATTATGGTAAATAGAGTTAAAAATTACATAAAACATTTTATTGAGATGGATTGTGGGTGATTGTATGGGTGTTGGCCAGATTGGGTAGCTATACATCAATAAAGGAAAATTAAGACCTGTTTAAAAAAGCTTTAAGACCCACAACACAATTTTTAAGTAGATTTAAGACTTTTTAAGGCCTAAGGTTTTGTTTTTGAGATTTAAGATATTTTAAAACTTTAAGACCCTGCAGATACCCTAAAAGAGGAAGATAAGACACTAGACCCAACACTGCAGAAGAGCTGAAGGCCATTTTTTAGAGCAACCTGACCTTCATAACACCTCAGCAGTGCCACAGACTGATCACCTCATGCTATTTTACTTTGCAGAAGTCATTTGAGAGAAAAAACATATCCCAGACCAAATCTTCAGAGCTTTACACATTCATACTGTTCAGTAGTCCAAAATTTGTCTTAAAAATCCTTTTTTTTTCCATAAACAATATACATACTACTTAAAAAACAACGGGATGTCTTTCAAAAAATATGAATGCCTCTAATGAACCTCTGACCATGCCAGATATATTTTTATAACAAGTGTGACTTTACTCAATCACAGCAGAACTTTATTCATTTATTGTGATTTTTGTATTCTGTTTGTTTATTTTTTTATTTTATTTATTGTTATGACTTTTGTTGCTATACTTGTGTCTACTGGTATTACTGTTCTTGTCCTTTTTTGTTTGTGTGTTCATTAAAACCGATGAACAAAGAATAAAAAAAAAATCCATAAGTAATATTCAAATTTGAGCTACTGAATTTTAGGATTTCATTAGGTGCAAGCCATAATCATAAAAATTAAAAAGAAATAAACATTTGAAATACACCAATCTGGGTGCAATACATTTATATAATATATGAGTTTCACATTTTGAATTGAATTAGTAGAGATAATCAACTTTTTAATGACATTCTACTTTACTGAGATGAACTATTATAAATTGAGTTTCACAGATAAAGTCTATTATGCCTGGAAATATATTAAGGTGATTAAAGGCCCATTTGCATTAATGACGATAACTTACGAAGATAAGTAGTCCTAAAAAATGTTTAAATTTAACATACAGTCAGAATTAATAGCACCCCCCCTCCCTGTTTATTTTTCCCCCAATTTCTGTTTAACAGAGAGAAAAAATTTTTGTCAACACATTATTACATAATAGTTTGTTCTGTAGACTATCGAAAAAAATATATAGCTTCAAGGGGCTAATAATTTTGACCTTAAAATGTTTTTTAAAAAGTAAAAACTGCTTTTATTCTAGCCGAAATAAAACAAATAAGACTTTCTCTAGAAAGAAAAAAACATCAGACATACTGTGAAAACTTCCTTGCTCTGTTAAACATCATTTAGGGAATATTTTAAAAAGAAAAAAAATCAAAAAGAGAGCTAATAATTCTGACTTTAACTGTATATCAGAGTCCACACCACAAAGTGGAACCACTTTTAGTGGCTTTTACAGCCGGTTATAATAAATTTGAAAATGTCAGAAGTCAAAATACTGGAGGGCACAATTAAAATAAACAGATTAATATTGTTTGCTAGTGTGGAAGCTAAAACAAGAGTTTAATTATTATGATAAGGTATTATTTTAGGTGTGAACGGACCTTAAATGATGTTTAAACTAAAGGTTTCAAATACCGCTACTCATGTTATACATAATAACATGAATATTTCTTATAATAACAGATAAATAGTGACTTCTGGTGGTTTTTAGACTAGCGATGAACTGGACTCGAGTATGCTTTTTTCGGAGGGGAAAAACACAAATGAATATGGAAGGAAGAGCTGGCACATTTCATAGTAGAACAACCCTCTCCTGCCACAGGAGAACTTCCCACACGGACACATACACAGTGAGTTAGAAGTCTTAACAGAACAAAACAAGAGACAAAAGCTCACAAGGAAGGAAAAACACGGGGTGTTAAGAAGGTCCTACTGTCGTATAGTCGGCAATCCTATCTCCAGGAGGTCTGTGAGGAAGTGTATGTGTGTGCGTGTGTGTGTGTTTCTGACTCAGAGGGCTGCTGGGACACTCTGGGTGCTGCACAGCCACTTGTCATTCAAAATCTACTCCAAAACATTGCCTATAGGAGCTGCAAAAGAAGGCAATGGTAGACAGATCTGGGTCATCATGTTCCTCACACCAGACCACTGGTGCGAGCACAAATGGACTGTTTGAGGGAATATACACATTTAACTAAATTATTTGTGAGTTAAAAGAGTGTTCATTTGCAGAGAGAAAATGAAGAATGTGTTCGTGAATGTCATGCTTTGTACTTGTAGCTGTGATGCAAACAAGTTTAAATAGAAAAATGTTTCTTTCTTATTGCTGGACTTGTCTTTAGATGCCTACTTTGGCATACTCTGATTAATGAGGCAATAGGTGTCCAACAGTAATAAGTACACCTTTGGCACTTGCAATCTTTCTCCCTCTCTTTCTCTGAACAATGACAATGTAAAAGTGACAATT